ATATATACACACACACACACACATATATATGAACATTTATTGGTACATTTTAAGCATGGTTTTTGCTAACAGGGTGGGTAAATTTTGGTAAACAAAAGGTTGTAAGTAGACCTTGCAAGTCTTGCTGGAGAGGTTCGAGGCACACGTGTTTTCAGCAACCATCAGGCTTTTTAAAGCCCTGGAGGCTGATTGATCATATTACCGTGCATAAAAATCCAAGCCTGGAGTTGTAGAGCACGCTTGTAATCCCAGCATTCTGGGAGGCTGAGGCAGGATGGCGGGAATATATATATTATATATAACACATTTATATATTAAATATATATATAATTTTTTTTTCCTTTTTAGGTCTAAAGGTCTGGAGATGCTGCTCAGTGAGAAGGCCCTGGGTTCAATCCCCAGTACTGGAGAAGAAAAAAGAAATCCAGAAAAGCAATAAAAGTTTGTGGGAGGGGAGGAAGCAGTTATATCAGCTTGGTGCTAAATGCTTTGATTTATGTTATTTTATTTAACTTCAGATCAACCCTCTGAGGTCAGTGAAATAAGGCAGTCAAAGACAACACTGTAAGATTCCACGTATATGAGGCATCTAAAGTAGATTGACAGAAACAATGATGGTTACCAGGGGCTGGGAGAGCAGGAGAGATGTTTAAAGGACAGTTTCAAGTTTGCAAGATGCAAAAAGTTCTGGAGATTTGAATATACTCAATGTGAATATACTTAAATATACAATATTTAACAATGTGAATAAAACTTAAACTACTAACTTAAAAATGGTGGTAAATTTTATGTGTATTTTACAATTTTAAAGTTACTGTAGACACAAGTTTGAAACCTTTCCTCTACTCACTTCCTATAAATATTTTATGTAGCAGATACCATCAGATGATGTTTTGTTTTACTGCTAGTCTCTTGCCACTAGAAAGCTCCATAAATCCAGAGGTTGTGACTAGCTTGTAACTCTTTCACCTATGAGAGTTTGGCATATACTAATTGCCCAATTAAGTATCAACTGAAGGCATATGGCCAATCCTGCCGCCTATGCTGTGCAACGTAGCAAACTGATCACTCTTCTTTTGTATGGTCAACTTCATTTTCCCACCAATTTTCTCACATCCTTTAGCAACCACCCTGCCTTCCCCTTCAGAGAAAAATAGAAACCAGATGAATAAATGATTTTTCATGTTCCACCCCTGCTCCACAGTCCTTTCTACTCATTTCTACCTTCACACTGACCCAGCTCTCATTTAAGGTGACCAGTGATCTCCCGATCGCTAAACCCAGAGTAAAGTTCAAGTCCTTACCTTGAGTGACTGACTGCTTAGCAGCATGGGCACTCAAATCTCAGCTGAGAAAACATACAGGGTTTTCTTCCTAGGTCATTAACCCATCTCTTCAGTTTCTTTTCCAAATTTGTCCTCCACTACATGCCAATAAATGTTGGAACTCTACAACTCACCCCAAACACCACATCTGGACAGTCTCATCCTCACCTATTTTAATAACCATCCAAATAGATGGAGAACTCAAATCTCATCTGGACCCTTTCTCTGACCCAGGACTCCCCTTCAAACTCCAGACCAGTATTTCCAAGTGGCCTACTAGACAACCATTTGGAGGTCGCAACACAACCCATTGTACTCATCACCCTTCCTTCGTGTCAGATTCTTTTTCCGTCTCATGTTGCTTCCATTTACACAGCTGATGTAATCTAGAAACCTAGAATCATCTTTGACACTTCCCTCTCCCCATCGACAACAGCTCAGCACTACCCACTGCAGTCTGTTTTAGCAGCTGAACATCTCTTATTTATGCACTTCATGAACCAAGTGCTTTAGTGCAAGACCATCTCTTGCTTTGGTGTTTTACACTAATGGAACCAGTGACCTCTCACTAAATCAAAGGGGATTTCCGTCCTTTCCTTACCAACTAATGATCCTTATTTTAAAAATCTATCACTGATTTAGCTCAGGGGTCCCACCGGCACAAGGACCCAAATTTGATCCCCAGTACCCCCCCAAAAAAGAAAAATTCTATCACTACTCTTAACAATTCTCCATTGTTGTTAGGATGCAAAAATCCTCTATATGACTCACCAGACTGTGGGGGTCTATCTTTTGAGTCCCTCCCTAACCCTATTAATCCTTCTATAATAGACTCTGATTTGCTCTTGTTCCCTTGCACTGTTGGCCATGATACTTCCCACATGGCCTTTGTATACTCTTACAACTGTCAGAAAGCTGTTTCAGGGCCTGGGATTTAGCTCAGTGGTTCCACTGCCTGCCCCAAAAGCGCAAGGACCCGAGTTCAATCCCTGGTACCAAAAAAAAAAAAAAAGGGGGAAGATTTTTTCAGTCAGTCTGCACAAGTAACTCAGGCTTTTTACCACAATTAGTTGTGTTATTTGGGGAAATTTTAACTTCTCTGCTTGACGAAACCTTCACTTGAGTTGTTGGAGGACTGAATTGACATTTGTGTGATGCTCCTAACAGTGGCTAGCACTTAGCAAGGGCTCGCCATCAGCCTGATTATCATTTCATGAAGCTAATTCCTTCTATTATTTGTGTATCATTGGACACTTTTTTCTTAATATTTATCATAAATATTATTTTACTATTCCTATGACCTTTAAAAAAGTATCCTGTGCCCTAACACAGTATCTTGCATGGGATAGGGAGCTCAAAAACAGTATTTGAATATTTCTGAAGGCTCAAAGTGCTTATTCATAAAAGTCTGAAGACACTGAAAGGATATGTATAGATAAGAGCCAGGCATGGTGAAGCATGCCTGTAATCCCAGCTCTCAGGGAAGCTCAGGTAGGAGGATCACAAGTTCAAGTCCATCCTAGGCAATGTAGCATGTCAGTGAGACCATGTCTCAAAAAGAAAACAAAACACCAAAACAGGCTTTGGGCTCAATCCTGACCATCAAAAACAAACAAAAAATAAAAAGAAAGCTGAGGAGAAAAAGAAAGTTGAGGCTGTTACTTTATATTGAGAAAAAAAAGAAAAAAAAAAGAAAGTTGAGGCTGTTACTTTATCATAAATCTAATTATGAAGCTTTCCAAAATAGAAATATGCAGGGCCAGGGATTTAGCTCAGTGGCACCACGCCTGCCTCACAAGTGCAAGGTCCTGTGTTTGATCCCCAGGACCAGGAGGAAAAAAAAAACAGAAATATGGAATAACTGAAAACTTTCCACATTAGAATTAAACATCCAGATAATAGAATGTTCCCATTCAACTGTACCCAGAAACCAGTTGCACCACTCTTTATTGCTGGGATACCATAGAGTGTATAAGCTGACGAGGACCAGGTTCAGCAAAGATTTTGTAACCCTGAGGGAAGAAACACATTGGGTACTCTGGCTAAAGGAAGGAGCACATAACCAGCAGTTTTTGCTATCTGCAAATAACAAAAACCTGGTCCCAATCAAAATGATTAATTTATAATGATGGGACATTTAAGAGGGGGGATTTTTGTTCAGGATTAAAACAACTTTAAGGGCCAGGGATGTAGCTCAGTGGTGCCATGCCTGCCTGGCAAGCACAAGGTCCTGAGTTCAATCCCAGATACCAAAACAAAAAACACAACTTTATAGCAACTAAAGCTAGTGAATAAAGTAAAACAAGTTCCCTTTATTTCTTTTGCTTCTTAAATTTTTCTCACCTCTATTCCATAAAATGGCTTGCCTCAAAAGTCTGACTGTATCTTTAAAACATTATGTAAAATGTGTACCTTCCTTTATACCACTTAGATTTAGTTACTATAAAACTGTTTAACTTACCATCTAGTAAAATTGCTGTTCCATGAACATGTTCCTTGTTTATCTTATGGCTTAATGTATTTCTTGGTATAAGGCCTGATGTATCTTTCGGTACAATTTGAGGAAAGAGAAGTACTCAAAAAGGTGGGTGTCAACCTGTTAGGGCAGGGCAGGGGACAATGTAGAAGAAATCCCCTGCTGGGAACACTTCCTTTACAGCATGGCTCAGCCACAGTTCCCCTGCATCCCCCCACTCCCTTTTCTTTTTTTGTGTGTGGTGCTGGGAAGTAATCCGAGGCCTTGCCCATGCTAGACAAGTGTTCTACCACTGAGCTATACCCTCCAACCCAGTTTCCCTTAATCATTTAATAATAAACTTGTAAGTTTCCTATGGTAGCCAGACTCTCACAAGGCTTCAAGAACTGACTTTTCAATGTTATAATTTCCTAGTACAATCCCAGCTTTCCCCATAGAACTTAAAGATCTTCAATTAAGTGTTTGAAAAACACTGTTATAGGGTAGTGTTGAAAAGATTTAGTCAATCAATACATTTGTTTTATACAACCATGTTTTAGCCACAGGATACATTTAAGAGGGTGACTACTCCCTGTCCACTAACCTGCAATAGATGAGGCAGAGTACACCTTACAGTTCCCATAGATGGGTGATTTGGTCTGTGACTTTTCCTAACTCAGAATGAAGAAAAGGTACATTTTTGTTTCCTGTTTATATTATGCATCTGAGGTAAGTCTGGGAGCATTATACAACAAAGTCATAATTTACGCTGCTTCATTTGAGCAGTTTTCTACAGGACTGCATTTGGCTAATGGTTCATAACAAGAAGGTTTTGGACCCTAGGAGTCATCTGAAAATGTTTAAAGACATTTTTCATCATGTTCACTAGGGGAGGAGCATTAGGTCCCACTAACAGAGATGTTGTTAAACATCCCACAGTGCACAGGACAAACACCACACAAGAAAGAATTATCTAGACTAAAATGTCAATAGTGCAGTGTTTGAGAAACTCAATACAAACCAAAGTTAGTCGAGGGATTTCTTGAGCAAATAAATTGTAGAAACAAGTTGCATTCCTACATCCTTTCCCCAAATACTTTCTCTTGACACACAGATAGATATGAGAGGGAGGGAGGGAGAGGAAAAAAAGGGAGAGGAGAGATGGAGAGATCCTTTTAAGCTTCAGACAAGTAAGTGGTAGGTACATATCTTTGGGTCATATAGCTTAAGACTCATAGCTTAATGTACAGAATTTATAATAATTATATTCCATTCCTCAAAGAGATTTAAATTTCCCAGAGTTCAACAAGGTTAAAAAAATTAACAATCAGTTAAACTGACATTCATGCTAGTTGTCTTATTTACCTGCAATGATAAAATAATCCCCTGAAAAGGATGCCCCTTCTGAAGGAAATGATAGCAAGGTTATATGAGTACTATCACATTTATTTACTTATACACTGACTTCTTTCAAAAATAATTTGAAGTGGCATTATACAAAAATAGTATTTCTATACTCAAAAGGTTGGCTGCTCTTTTTAAAAAAATTAATCCAAGATTTCATTTAAAGCCACAAAATCTACCTAACAAGTTAAAACTTTAAGGTTTATTTCAACTACTATTTTCTATGTTATAAGTTACATGGTTTCGAGGGTTAGTCAGGCCTTAAAGTTTGCTTTGTTTCATGAAAGCCATAATCATAACATCTTCTCACATAAATGGCCTTTTTCTAAGTTAGTGTTTAAATCTATCAGTGGGCTGGGGATTTAGCTCAGTGGTACCATGCCTGCCTTGAAAGCACAAGGTCCTGAGTCCGATCCCAGGTACTGCAAAAAAGAAAGAAAGAAACAAAAAAAATCTGTGATACATAAGGGGAGGGACTTGTAATGAACGGAAGGATGCAGCTACCAGCTAAGAACACCAAGGATTGCCAGCCACCACCAGAAGCTAGGAAGAGGCAAGGAGGATTTTTTCCAGCCCAGAGAATATGGCCC